TTTTCGAAAGGGGATCAACTAAGAATCAAATTGGCCAGTCTGAAATTTCCCAAAATTTAACGCGCCATAAATTATGGGTATACGATGGTATACCCCATGTTGAGACACATGCCTATTGGGAAATCTCCAAGTTATGGTTGGTAAAAGTTGGTGTTTACATCCCATGGGCACCATCCGCTTACGGTTGGATTAGCTCAGTTCGCTCATCGAACATGACCCCTGTGTAGATGATGTTCCCATGTTTTTGTTCACTACTTTCCACGGCTGTATAGCATTACCAGATGGATCTAGATGGTAATCACTATTCATCAACAATATCCCAAAATATGACGTAAACGAAGATGGTATCATTGGTAATCACTATTCATCAACAATATCCCAAAATCTGACCCATGACCCATAGGATCCATGTATGGTATATATATATATATGCTAACATTGGGGGTATATTGATGGGATCCATGAAAAACCATATATAGCAGCACCATGGATCCTATGGGTGATTGTTGGTCAATGTTGCTTATTCATGGTTACCCTCCGGTAAACTAACATAACTATGGAAAATCACCATGTTTAATGGGAAAATCAACTATAAATGGCCATTTTCAATAGCTACGTTAAATTACCGGAGGGTATTCCCTTTCCAATTGATTTCCACAGTCATCAAACTCACCCAGGCCGTTCGGCAGCCGTTGTGCTGAGGCTGGGAAAACGTCCTTGCTCCGAGCAGCCTGTGGCTGCTTGACGCCTCTCAAGGGCGCACGTCTCAGGAGGTCGGCGACCGGAAAAAAAAAACCTGAGGTTTTACCTGGAGGACCTGGAGAAGTGGCGGTTTAGCCTAGGTGGTTGATGATTATAACCATTAATAACCATTAATAGGATGTTATAGTGGCTATATCCCATGATTTATAATATATATATATATACCCTCTGGTTATTTTGCTACATAGCTATAGAAAATCACCATTTTTAATGGGTAAACCATCTATTTCGATGGGCCATTTTCCATAGCTATGTTAAATTACCAGAGGGTATCAAAAATCATGATATTCTAGTGGCGGTTTATCAAGCATCAATTGGTGATTAGTTAACCATTAGTAACCATCAATCATCATCAATATGATTATCATCTATAATGGGATATTATATGGAATATTATCATCATCTATAATGGAATATTACCATCATCATTAATTATATGGGATATATTGGGATATTATTCCAACTGATCTGACAACAATTATAATATCATGACTGGTCATCACCATTAAGAACCATTAATAACCATTAATAAGCATCAATTGGTAATAACCACTAGTAATCATTGATAATCAATATAATCAATAACCATGATATTCTGGTTGGTGGTTTCAAACATGACTTTTATGTTCCACTTCATATATGTGATGTCATCCCAACCGCATTGACGAACTCCATCATTTTTCAAGATGGTTTTTTAATCACCAACCAGTATCGATGCATTAACATTTAATCACTATAAAATCCATATGCATCATATTATTGATCACTGTTATCACTATCATTATATATAATTACTAGTTTACGTTTACTATAAATCAATATCATGATTATCAATGATCACTGTTAACTGTCATTATTTTAATCACTATCTGGTTGGTGGTTTGGAATCATGGAATTTTATGACTTTCCAGAAACAGTTGGGATTGTCATCATCCCAACTGACTTTCACTCCATCATTTTTCAGAGGGGTAGGGCTCAACCAGCAACAAGATTTAGTAAAGCTCTAAGCATGAAAATATTTAGATATGAGAGTTCGATTTCCCAGTTGGTCGATTATAGGATGTTATAGTGGCTATATCCCATGATTTATAATATATATATATATTATAGTTGTTTTTGGTTGACGATATGTCCCATTTAATCCACTCTTTCATCCCTGGTATACAACCATGATGGTTGGTTTTGCACCCCATTCGTGGCTTAAATCAGTCAAATCAAATTAATCAATAATTAAAGGGATATCAGGATATCAATAGAAGATCGACTGAAGACCTCATGATATGAATCGATTGTAATTATTCCCATCAAGTTGATTATAAACCACCATTTCGTGTAGACTATTTTTACCATTATCAAATCCTCATTAAGTTGCTCATTAAATCCCATCAGTTCCATATTTTTCTCATCGTTACATATTTTTATTTGCATCAAGTTGCTTTATTTTGGGATTATAGGTCATTTACATCCAATTATAGATTGATTTACAATTCCCAGGGATATAACTATGGGATTTCCGTGTAAATCCCCAAAGTCTTGGTGAAAATCTTTGGGGTTTCCCCCCATCTTCGAAGCGAAAAACGATAATTCTTGGGGTGCATCCCACTTAGAACATGGGTTACGTAACCCCCAATTAGATTATAACGGAAGATTGCCTATTATATTAATGGGATTATACAACAGGCAATATGGAATTATAGATGGGATTATATGGCTTATTATAGATGAGATTGTATATGGGATTATCCCTGCTATATGTGGGATTTTATGGCTTATAGATTATACAACACAGCCACGACTCGTATCGACTCGTGCCCGCACGATGGAGGTCGTCCTCGTCGATCTTTCTGCCCTCGGAGCCGTGGCTTCTGCCCGGAACGCTGCAGCAGAACGTCCTCGCGGAGCGCAGCCTGGACGTGGAGCGCTACGAGGAAGTCCTAAAGGCTGGTGGGGAAATTTTCGGGGTGATGTTTAAAAAATGTGAAGCCAGGATTTTTCGGGTGACCCCTTCAGTTGATGAGAAAATTATGAACAAATGGTGGGTTCCCCTAAAATGGAACGATGCCAAAGATTGAACTAGGATGAACTAGGGATAGGTTGATCCTGGGTTGACATTACGTCACGGACGGTGGAGATCATTTCTTTTCGGGGTGGCTTGTTTCCCCCATTCCTGCCCTGCCCAGTGAAGTTTTTTTTACTCCCCAGGGGCGGTCTTTTAGCCACTTTCCAGAGGTAATTTTCATGCATTTTACATTACTGGTTGGTGGTTTCAAACATTTGTTATTTTCCATAATATATGGGATAATCCTTCCCAACTGACTTTCATATTTTTCAGAGGGGTTGAAACCACAAACCAGATTAGTTTGACTGATATGACCATTTTTGGTGCGTATGAATGTATATTGTAAATGAACATGAAAATAAATAGGATGACCAATGGATAGACAATGGGATATAAGATTCGATATCATAATGTTTTGTTTATTGAGATATGCTGAATTCCCGGCCAGTGGCTGAATTCCAGCGTTTTTGATGTGTAGGCCTGTGGGCTGGCTGGGAAATCACAGAACTAGCCATGGAGATTCAGTTTGGAGGGAAAATTCACGAAGTAAATGGTGGGTTTTCCATGATTTTCCAGGGATTTTCCACGTTTCATGACAGTAGGTTATATAATTGTGATGTGAACATATGTGAACTCATAGATTTCACATCGATTGGTTTACGATGGTTGGTAGTGAACAACAGCGCAGCACAAGAAAACAATCCCAATGAACCAGAATTTGATGTTGAACCCTGCCCTGTCAGAATCCACAGATGGTCCGAAATGTCAACATCTCATGGTTTTGTGGTATTTGGGGATGCGTCAAAACCCTATGAAATTGCCATATTTAAGGTGGAATAAACATCCTTTATATAACCAGCTATTTTAGTGTACCGTTTGGGCACCAGGGTTCTGACGAAAATAGCTATTTGAGTTAGGGAGTTCATGTTACTAAAAATCATCGTACTTCATCAAACTGCTGGCTGGTTGGTGGTTTTATACATTTGTTATTTTAATATATGGGTTGTCATCCTTCCCACTGACGAACTCGTATTTTTCAGAGGGCTAGGTCTACCACCAGTCATCAAACTGCGGGGTGCAGTGAATCTGGCCAACTGACTTACCCTCTGGTAATGACTGTTACATAGCTATTGAAGCCATGGCCCAGTCGAAATAGTTGGTTTACCCATGAAACATGATGATTTTCCATATAGTTATGTAAACGTTTACCAGAGGGTAGATCCTATAGAATCCCATTAGATCCCATTAGATCCCATTAAATCCCATTAAATCCCATTAAACCATTAGTTTTTGGTATGTTTACCATCATCTTAGATCAAACATTTCTCAGTTTCACGATTGGTTCACTTTCGGGGAGTTTACCTGAGGGATCAACAAATCGTGGCGATCACTTAATCCATGGGGGATTGATGGATGATGGATTTTTGTTTATGAATATATAATATATGTATATATCACTGGATTGGTTTAAGGGAAAATCTACAGGAAACCATGTTTTTTACCATCAAATATAGGGCTTTCCTGTAAATTTTCCCATCATCCAATTCTATGAATATACATATACACATGAACAGTCAATAGCAATTTAATCAATGGATTGCAGATTGGTTTATGTAATACAATATCTACAGGAAACCCAATATGGAGGTGTGCAATATTTTTTCCCTAAAACCATGCTTTAAATCCTAGCGTCGGGGTTGAACATAGACCCAGACTAGATCCTTCACCCTTGCCGGCTGGACAGTTGTTCATGAGAGCTACAGCTAATGGACATCGACGTGCCGAAATCAGAAGCTGCTTTGAGAAAGCAAACTTGACACTTCAGTCACATATGGAAACAAGATGAAACAAGCCTCTTGCCCATCTCAATGATTGATTTTGCACCATGGACCTGACTTGGTCGTGTGAGTCTCGCTGTTTGTCTATTGTCTCGTGGAACCGGATATCCATCTGTTTGTATACATATTATTTACATATATAATAGCTGTAATACACATCTGGTTGGTTGGTGGTTTCAAACATTTTTTATTTTCCATAATATATGGGATGTCATCCTTCCCATTGACTTTCATATTTTTCAGAGGGCTTAAAACCACCAACCAGAAATTCATTCACACAGCCATGGAGCGCTCGTTATTTTTTTGCAGACGACAAGATCGTTGACGCCGCAACTCGCCGCCATGGTCGACCATGGTCACGCACGTGACGCAAGGCAGCGCCTTTCACCAAGAACCTCGGGTCAAGAATGAGGTACTGAGGAACGGTTCAACGGGTCAACTGGGATACTTAATGATAATCATACTTGCTTAAAAGGCTACTAAGGTTCATCCATCATGAAATGGGTTATCTAATGATGTTAATGTTATATCCCATAATTCCGCAATATCATTCACATGACAATGTAATGAAATGGAAGTGATTCTGAGATGATTACCATTTTTCACCATTTCCAGTACTATATGAAACATTATGTATATTATTAGTTTTATTTAAAATTACATATATATATAATATGATATTTATATTGTGAAGGTGTCTCAAGCCATTAGATACCGAATGACCTTTGTGTTTGGCAGCGGCATATCACTGGGAATCCCTCGGCTGTGTTTCCGGATTTGGGACCAATTCCCCATGTTAGTTTGATTTAGAGTGTAAAACATCCAGATGTTTGCATGTCACTACTTGTATGTAGAGATACTGATATACCCGCTATCTATCTATGAAACAGTTTCCAAATTGAAGAACCGACCACTCTCAGATCTTTGCCCCTTCGCTTCATTATCCATTGGAGTGAAGGTTCCAGAAAGTATCCAATCCATGTCCCTGGAAATTGTATTCGATGCATCTTGGCATGTTGCATGATACATCCTCAAACGGCCTTAGCATAAAACGAAGCTTCATAGGCTGAAACATAGCCTTCAATCAAATTTTAAATTGATCATCACTCTGTCCAATATCATCCAATATGTACAATAATGGGCATATATATATATATATTATGCACACAGGATATTAATCTCTATATATTATATACACATCTTTTCGTGTCCAGGGATCACCTTTCAGAATGGCTTTTTTGGATGGCCAGGATGGTCCTTCTGCGAATGGCTAGACCTTCTTCACCATTGAATTGCTACAATGTGAGGCCTCCAAGATAGCTAAGTTGGTTTATAACTCCAATAACTATGGTTTATGGTACTTATAACTATAGTTACTGGGGCGAATCTAAACCAACAAACATCACTGGGGGGCCTCACATTGCTAAGGATGACATCATTTGGGTCTCATGCGCAGAGCGCGTCTGGCGAGCGGCTCGAGTGCTTTCTGCAGATGAGACATCGGTGTCGGTGGAGTGTCTTGGCGGTTTCTGCGCTTCGGCAGGGCGATATGAGCAACTGACTGTGTACCCTGGTACCCTCCGGTGAACAAACATGGCAATGGAAAATCCACAAGTTATAGATGATTTCCAAAACGCTGTTGGGAGGATTTTCCAGCCAGGTTTGATTACCAGGATGCGTATGGGTAAACTTTGGTGGAAAAAAATGATGGGTTAAACTCATGGTATGAATATCTAGCTAGGATTGGTCATGTAGTATTGTAGAGGCTCCATGATATATCATGATATATCCAAAGGAATGGGTAAATGGGTATAGGAGGCTCTGCAAATGGTTTTGTCCGATAATGGTCTACGTTTTTTCCCGCAAATCCGCTGGTTTCTCATCATTGTCCTGATTCGAAACGATTTTTTGGATGCAGGCTCTAACTGGTTGGTGGTTTGGCACATGAATGTTATTTTCCCATATACGTGTATTGGGAATGTCATCATCCCAACTGACTTTCACTCCATCATTTTTCAGAGGGGTAGGTTGAAACCACCAACCAGATAATATTGATTACTCTCGTGAAATCTTACCTGTTGATTTTTTTTTTTTTGTTTCGCTATGTTAGTGTTTCGGTTTTGGGAAATCATAACTATGGAAAAAAAAACACCATTTTTAATGTAAATCAAGCTAAAGTTTTTTGTTTGATCTTTCTGACCCTGTTCTTCTGCTTGTCCTGCAGGTCTCACCATGTCTCACCTGCATTGGACATAGCTCAACAGTCATCACTGAGTCATCAGATTATAAGCTGAACTTTGATGATAATGATGAACTATTGTCGCATTATGATGAGCTATGATCATATATCTGAACATTGCCTAAATAATTTAAGTCTAGATACAGTTGCTCGATCATCCCATCCTGCTCTGTGCTGAACCCTGAGGTATGCTGGTGAAGATGATGATGTGGAGCAAGCCGAGCTCTCATTGCACGGCAAGGAGTGATTGGGATTCCTGGGAGGGTACATGCGTACATCACTCATGTCTGAATTGGGCGAATTCTCTTTTTTGGACATGATAAATTCATGACCAACATAGTCTGGTTGGTGGTTTAGAACTTTTTTTATTTTTCCATATATTGGGAATTTCATCATCCCAACTGACTTTCATTTTTTCAGAGGGGTAGGTATACCACCGACCAGATTTTGCTTCTATTTTGTTGAAGAAATTCCAATTTTGGTCTCATCTTTCAGCCGCTAAACAAGCTGTTCATAATTCTTGCACTTTGCACTGTTACAATCTGTTACATGTGTTGTAAAATATTATATATATATGATTATATATGCACTTTACACTGTTATCCTTTGTTGTAAGCATATCCCCATCTTAGTACGTTAACCTATGAGCTCCTTCCGCATTCTCTCGGTCTCCAAGATTTCACATTTGTCAATGACCTAGAGGTTAGACTCAAGAGCTGGAGTGTTTCCGAATTGCAACTGGCTTAACCACATACTTTTTATGGGTTAAGTGTTAGCAAACAAAATCATGCTTAACCCATACTGTTTCTCTCTTATCAAAAAAAAACATGTCCCTTTTTGAAGTCCGTAGCATGAATATGATCCCAGAGTTGTGTTGTTAAAAACTGAATATTATCCGTTGGTGAAATATGAATGATTGAATGTGTGTGATGACAATTTGCTGGGCATTGTTTCAATCATAGATGTCCTTTTCCCATTGGTTCGTTGATTAATAGAGGGGTTGTTTACCCCTTTAACAACAGGTAAATGATGATAGAGGGTATACCAAACCGGCCCCTCTTTTTTTACCAAAAGGACATTATTGGTTTCAATTGTTAAGCAAAATTTAGCACCGACATCACCATCGAAATGTCAATTGGTTCGATCCCATTTTTGCTGTTTCAAACGGTGATTTTTTCCGATCTACATGCACGATCCACCACTTGAAATTTCCAATTTATACAAACAACCAGCCAATAACTGGTTGGTGGTTTGGAACATGAATTTTATTTTTCCATATATTGGGAATGTCATCATCCCAACTGACTAATATTTTTCAGAGGGGTTGAAACCACCAACCAGACAAGTAACCCTTCAAGCCAGCTTATGTTGGTTTCAATTTATTGCAAAGCACCATTGATGCTTGTTAAGTCCCTAGTCCGGCGTTGTGAAATTACGAGTGGGAGGTGTAGCATAAGTGGGAGCTCTGGCGATTCCATGAGAAATCACCATTTGGAGGTTTCCCAAAACCCAAATCATCCATTTTTTTTTCATTATAAACCATCCATTTGGGGTACCCCATGACTTATGAAACCCCCATTTGTGGTTAAATCAGGAAAAAAACGACTTATCTTGTGGAAGCTCCACTACATTTTTTCAGCAAAAAACTTCTCGGAGGCTGCGCCCAAGTTGCTGCGCCGCAACGCGGAGCTGCTCGGGCAGGGCGCTTTGCGTTTTGACAACCTGACTGAGGCGCCTGGCGCGGAAGCGCTGAAGAGTCGGAGCGGGTGAGTTTTCGGTGGGAAATCGTTGGACAGCTAAAACCACAATGTTTCTCATGGGATTTTAATATAGGTACATGTGCATCATGAATCATGCATATCTAACATTGATAACTATGATGATTTTGTAACTCTCAAATTCGAGCGAGCAAAACCATGCAGATTGTGTTCACTGAGCCCCGTCAAATTACCAGATTCAAATCAGCGGGAACTGGGGCCTGTGCCTTCGGAAGATGTTGCTGGGTGATTTTTTGACCATGACATGTCGAAACTACTTCCAATATATATATATGGTACCACCCCCCCAAAACCCATATTTTCCTATAATTCACTGGTATTTACAGTGTTTTTCCTTGATTTTGCATATAAAAAAGGTTCCTTTTTTTTTGGATAGTATAGCTATCATCAAACACTGATTCAACATACTTAAAAATACTAACAAAGAAACAAACATTCAGAAACTCTTTGGGGAGGGCCCCTTAGAGAAAATTCAACAAATATTAAAAAAAACAATTGTGCTGACAAAAAATAAACATTCAGAAATTCTTTGGGGAGGGCCCCTTAGAGAAAATTCAAACAAATATTGAAAAAAAAAACAAAAAAAAACAATATCTGGAGACTCTTTGGGGAGGGGCCTCATGGAGAAAATGAAGAAAACAAAAAAACATCGAAAAAAACAAAAAAAACAAAAAAAAACAAAAAAAAACAGTATTTGAGGACTCTTGGCAGCTGTTGTACATGCTTTTGTTTGCAGTTGCTGCTGCTATGTGTGCACTGCAGTTTGCCATTTATTGTCATGATCAAGCGGCGCGTTTGGTCAAGCTATTTGCTGCTCCGTTGTCAGCTCCTCAATTGTCTGCGAATGATAGGCACCCCTGCTTCCTCACCTTTCCTCTGCAAACTTTCCGTTGTGGGCATCACCCTTCTCAGGTGCACTTCTGTGACGATTATGGCAATGGAACGCGGCAACGCTGACTGCATGGAGGTGGACACTGGCGCCGCTATCCCAGAGGAGTATCTTGGCTGACAAGAACAGGTCAGGCCATTGGCCCCAATCCTTCACCAGCACCTTGATTTAGGCCCGACCACACTGACAACGACAATGAGAGTGAGTGGGTAGACATCCCCGAAGGGGATGCTGCGCCACAAACTCCCGTGGCAATGTCTGACGATGAGTGGGTAGACATCCCGAATGGGATGCTGCGCCACAAACGCCACCTCAACTGACTGGGGTGTGGCTTGACGGAGTGGCTGTCCCTCACACTCCACCAGAATTGTTGTTGGCACCTCCAGAGCAGTTAGCTTTGCTGGCCCCGTGGACACCTCCCGGTCCACCACCGCAGACTCCGCCTGAGGCATATCTGCAGCGACGAGGAAGGGAGTTCCGCTGGCGATGGGGCGGTGCATGACATTTGTCACTAGCATCGCTTCGAGGAAAAAGACTTTTGCTTCAGTGCTCCATGACACGTAGTTAGAAACTTTAGAAACTAATGTTAATAAAAGGAAACAAATACATCTGCCTTCTGCTTTGAAGACTTGCATGCACTTCTCAAGGCTGCTTTAAACAACCTTCCGAAAACAATGCAAAACATGGGTTTTGGGAGGGGGGTAGCATATATATATACTGGTTGGTGGTTTGGAACATTTTCTATTTTCCATAATGTATGGGTTGTCATCCTTCCCATGGACTTTCACTCCATCATTTTTCAAGACTGTTTTTTAACCACCAACCAGTATATATATATATGTATAAAGATAGTGAGAACTAAACTGTAACGAAGCAAGCTGATGTCACCGGTCACCGCTTGGTTTGGAATGGCGTATGTTCCAGGGATGATCCCAGACCAGCTGGATGGGATAAGGGAATTCTGTCAGGTCGGTCAACTAATCGTTAGCAAGCTTCAGGTGAACTCTCGGACAGTACGTTTGCTTCGGGATTTGAGCGAACTTGGGTGTGTTTTTAGAACGGCCACGTGATCCACGTGGCGTCCTGGAAGCGAAAAATGACGATTGTCCCATACGGAGACATGTTTTTTTCTCACGGTGAAACTGAAACCATCAATCGAGAAATAAATGAACCTCATGCTGTTAAGATTATGTGTCAAACATCAGAGATGGTTAAATTATTATTTGGTGTTTCTGCAACTTGTTCGCAACAAATGATGCACTCTCGAAGGCACGCCCAGAACATGGGCTAGGAGGTCAAAGAACATTGTGTCATAAGATGTCATACTGACCCTGCCCCCTCTTACATCCATTTTCTCTTGATCAAATCGCCATTTTTCTTCGCTGGGCAAATCAAAAAACATCCTGATGAAATATATGTTTTTTTGATGCTTAAGTCATCATCTTTGAGCAAGAATCCGCTGCGCAGCTCCGCGAAGCCAAGCTGCTCGCAGCAGGACCTGCGAGATGGTCTCTTAAGTTTCGACCATTTTTAGACGAACTTCCCACGACTGACTCACATTGAAATCACCATAAATGCACCGGTTTTGGTTTTTCCTGATATAAGTCACCAAATCTCAAAATTGTGGCTGAAATCTAGGTCACTCCCTTAAGTTGTTGATGAGAATCCTCATAAATCATATTATCAAATCACATCAAATCACATAAAATCATATATAAATCACATAAATCCATGGTTTTCCCATATATCTCCCGTGGTTTTTGCTTGGAAAAAGCACGTCCCTCCCAACGACTAAATCCAGGTGCCGGAGCTGCACGAGGCGGCCGTGCTGCATGCCTTGGAGGTGCGCTTCGCACAAGGCTGGATGGAAAAGGCCATAGCTGGATGGTTGATCATAATGGTTGATCAATGGGAATTGTCATAATAGTATCAGTGATTATTAGTGGTAATACTCTGGTTATTGAGTCTTCTAATGCTATGATCAATGGGAGATCTTCAGGAACCGATTTAATGGGAGATCTTCAGGTTTGTCCATAGTTATGTGGCTGTTTACCAGAGGGTAACGTTATCATGGTTGATCAATGGGAGATCTTCAGGAACCGATTGATTGGAGGTACCTACCATATAAGGCCTATTTTTCAGGCCTATGTAAGAGAATATACCCACAAAATATAGCCTTATATGGTACAGTACCTCCATTTTAGGATCCTGGAATTAGCATTGATGATATGATAATGTTACCCTCTGGTAAACATACAAAACACTATGGAAAATCACCATTTTTAATGGGTAAATCAACTATAAAGTATATGTATGTAAATAATATATATGATATGTATGTCTATATTGAGTTACAACCTGTTACAACGTTTATTTCATAATATACATCTTTATGATGATGATATGAGTATGTTCTAAGATTATCCAACTATGGATCCATAAAACTAACTATAGTCAGGAAATAATGGTTTATTATAATAACTGGATGGATAATACGGTTGATGAGAATTCGATAGCTATATAACTATAATAATCGTTAATTCAATTGTTTGTATGGTTGAATTCCGCTATGACTATTATAATCTATAGATATCTATAGATTGTTTATAATGGTGATGATAAGGTTGATTTCATCGACAACTATAACTATAACGAATAATGATGGTTGCTTTAATGGTTGATAGCTCTATATATGTAATACAGTATATCGTGTGTATATATGTATATATGTATGGTATAATTGTTAGCAATTATAGTTGTTGATCTTATTCACATACATAATAAATATATCATACTAATTGATGATGATCATGATTAGTATACGTCGAATTAGTAACTCTATACAAGGATGATGGTTTTCTTGATGTATGTTACTAACAACTATTATTAGCTAATGACTATTTTAGTATGTTATTAATAACTATTATTCAGTATTCATGATATAATATAAATTTCTGTCAACATGGAGGATCTTCATTAGTATACTACTAACTAATAACATGCTATGATAGTCATTAGCTAAACTGTTGTGTATAGTGATCAGCTATGGGATTTTCTTATACCTGATGATGATGGTGATGATGATGATTTTGATGATGATGACGATTATCATTAGTATACTAATGAGTTCATTGGGGATATGAGAGTATAGTTAGTGATATGTGTTTATTGTTCATATTTGATGATAAGGAACGATAAATAATGTTGCTATAGTTGATGAGAGTGATATCTGGAGTTTCCTAAAATGAAGGTACCTCCATCTCATCCACGTCATGTTTCGCATGTTAGTTTTGAAACAACCATGATGCTTGGGGATCCCTCATTTTGAGCACATTCATATGTATATACACATATGTATACACCCTCTGGTTATTTAACATAGCTATGGAACATGGCCCAGTTATAGATGATGTACATATTGAAATGGTGATTATCCATGGCTATGTTAAATAACCAACAGGTATAGTATATATATATATATACATCCTTACTGTATATATATATATATGATAGTCAATAAAGCTGCAGAAGGTTAATGATAGTCATGATATCCAGATATGTACTATGAGTTGATACTCAATGACAAGTAATGATATTCAATGAACTTAATAAAGGTCAATTATAGTTATGGCATCCAATTATGTACAATGAGGGAGCTATTTGTGTATAATGAATGACCGGTAAGTAAATGATGAGTTTTAGGATTTGTTTGGGCAATAGCTATACAAAAAAAAGACAATGATGGCCGGTATAATATCATGGAATTTAATGGTCCTTGAGTGATGAATTTGTTAGTAAATAATTAATGATTATGTATTTTGCTATACTGGAGATACAATGGGGGATGACAGAGAAATACTAGTAATACTATGCAGTAAATGCCACGAATAGTCCATTATATCTAATTGGTTTATTGCGTTCTTCGAAGAGAAAAAACACATGATGAACGATCAGTAATGATGTCAGTAATGATGTCAATCATGATGTCAGTAGTTGGTCATTGTTGAGATTATTGTTAATAATGCAGGGACAATGAGGATATACTGCAACCAGAACGTATGGCAAGTAAATGAGCATTGATCTTGTTGATATCCCCATTGCATCCCTATGTTTCCCTACTAAAAGGTTTCCTTTGTCTCAATGTAAGTTGATGGGTAAACAGCAGAGATTTAATTGGGTGTAGTTGGGAGTTTTTTTGGAATCAATGATGGTGTCACCCAGAAATGTTTGCGAACCATTTTATAAGACGTTAATATAATATAAGGGAATATCTTGGAGAAATATATGACCTCATGATGGTATATTCGTAGAATTGTTTTACCCGTAATTGCTGGATATGAGTAGATTAGGATTTATGATCATACTTTAAGTGATGGGTTCACATCCAAGTCGTGACCCAGCGAACCAATTGTGATGGTATCATCATCCTATTTGATAAACACAGTTCATTTTCTTAATGGATGAATGTGGCAATAAATGGGACATGTTCGACACCCAACTTACCCTCTGATAATCAAACATGGCAACTGAAAATCTTCTTTAAATGGAGGTGGTAGTGGGAAAATCATCTGCAAATGTTTGATTACCGGAGGGTTTTTGCTTACGGGTTTCGTTTTTTGTGTTTTCTCCACACCTGCATTTTATCAAAGGTGCAACCCCTTTCCTTCAATCACCCACTCACGCACGCACGCACACACTCACTCACTCATTCGCTCGCTCACTCACTCACTCCTCCTTCCTTTCCCCCCCTTTTCCTCCCTTGCGCCAGCTCATCGCCACTGTGGGCACCAACGGACCTGGATCACAGCAAGAGCCAACTCAAGCGACGGAAGCTTGCTACAAGCTCTATAGCTCACCCTCAGCACGCACTGGCCCGAACCCCATGGCAAGCTCCAGCTCAGCAGCACGCACGGGCCCGAACTTTGTCGCGAGCTCCAGCTCACGAACGTATATCACAAAAAATGCCAGACAGAATGTCATAATAAATGCCAGATAGAATTTAAGAATATATGTTTTACGTAGAATGTCAGACTAGATGTGAGATAGAATGCAAAAAATAATGTCAGATAGAATGCAAAAAAGAATGTCAGATAGAATGCCAGAAAGATCTATTTTGCAGAACGCAATGCATGTCAGACAGAATGTCTGTTTCACGTAGAATGTCAGCATATATGTTAGATAGAATGTCAAAATGTATGCCGGATATAATGTAGGAATATGTTTCACTTAGAATGTCAGACTAGATGTCAGATAGATTGCGAAGTAGAATGTCATAGTTAGTAACAGAGAAAATGTCAGAATACATGTCAGAATATTTGCCAGACAGAATGTCAGCATATATGTCAGATAGAATGTCCTCATATATGTCAGATAGAATGTAGGAATATATTTCACGTAGAATGCCAGCATATATGTTAGATAGAAATTCAAAAATATATCATGTCGGACTAGATGGCAGACAGATTGCGAAGTAGAATGTCATTGTTAGTGCCACAGAGAAATTCAGGATACATGTCTGAATGCATGTCAGACAGAAAGTCAGCATAAATGTCAGACAGAATTCCAGAATATATGTCAGATAGATTGCATGTCACGTAAAATGTCAGACTAAATGTCAGGTAGAACGCAAAATAGAATGTCAGATAGAATCCCGGAGAGAATTTCGGAATACATGTCAGAATATATGCCAGACAGAAATGTCAGCATATATGTCAGATGGAATGTTAGAGTATATGTCAGATAGAATGCCAGAATATATGTCATATAGATTGCATTTCACGTAAAATGTCGGACTAAATTTCAGGTAGAACGCAAAATAGAATGTCAGATAGAATCCCGGAGAGAATTTCAGAATACATGTCAGAATATTTGCCAGACAGAAATGTCAGCATATATGTCAGATGGATATATGTCAGATAGAATGCAAGTTAGAATGTGATAGTTTGCAAGAGAATGTCACAATGCATTTCAGACCATGTGCCAGGTAGACTGTCCGCATATATGTCAGGTAGACTGCCAGAAAGAGTGCCAGATAATTGAATATCAGAAAATATGTCAGATAGAAGGCCAGTAAGAATGCGATAAAGAATGCCAGATAGAATGTCAGAAAGTACGCCAAATAGAATGTCAGTTTGGGGATCACTCGAAGAAAATTGTTCTCAGAAAATTCAAAACAGTGCAAAGGACATTCACGCAAAATTAAGATATCATAACACGGATAAACTATGACAAAGCTGAGGCTCGAGGGAGCAGCAACCCATTGGATGGACTTCTTTGGAACATCCTTCCGGGAACAGTGCGATCACGCGCTTGCAGTTGAGGTCCGGCGGAGGAAGGAGGAAGGAGGAGGAGTTGAGCTGACATAAAATCTAATAACCCTCACCTGACAGGCGGGGAACCATTAGAATCATTTGAAAAATGCAACCATGGAGTTTCTTGTTTTTCCCTGCCCGGATGAGTGGGAGGTACGTGATGCTGGCTTAAGTTCATGTCTCATGCACTGCATTTTTACGATTTGGATTTATTTCATTTTGCGTCGTGGCAACAGGTCGTGGCAACAGGTCGTGGCCCGTATACTTCCCTGCAATTTTGTCGCGTTGTTTCTTCCAGCGTGACGTTCAAGCCTCCGAAACATCATGAAATACCAAACCCTGAAGCCTTAGGGATTGACGGCGCAGAGACATGTGCAGAGACATCCGGGAATTGACACCATCGTCCCATCGTGTTCGTTACCTACAAAAATTCTAAAACAGTACCCATAGCCCCCCAAAAAGATGATTTTTGTTCTATTTTGAACGCGTTTATTTAGAAACTAATATTTGGGAAATATGAATTCCATATTGTGTATTATTGAGAACTGCATGTGTGGGACTAGTGCATTGCATATCTGTACCACGCGCATTATTATAAACAATTGTTTTCGATTCTACTTGGATATCTATAGCATTTGTTTTTTGTTTATACTGATATTTTTGAACTATTATATCATTGGGGGGATAGTGATCCCGGACTTTGCGGGCACCAGCGGCAGGTTGTATATACACCTTGACTGGCCCAGTCTTGTTGGCAGCCACTCAGCCGCTGGAAAAGTATCCTGTGTCAATGAAACCTGGCAATGGGAAGCGTCTTCTTAATGATGGCAAAACCATAGAAACATATGGAAAACATTGGAAACTCGTTTTAATTATAGTGGTATTAATTATTTAATTAAGAAAACCGTCAAACTCAATGAGGGATTTTCCACTGCCATGTTTGCTTACCAGAGAGTAGCGGAGTTGTGCATCATATGGGAATGTTGCTGAAACTGTCCGAGGCGATTACAACGCCTCATCAGCATTGGTTATTCCTCTCATTTTTCATTGTACTATGTTTTCTGTCACGTCAAATGCCCATCATCTACGGATGAAGGTAACCCAAGTTGCTTTCATATCCCGTCATTTTGCCGAAGCGTCTCCAATTAATGGAAAAATGTTTTGATCCCTCATTTGCCACACCAATTCACATTACCCCTACCAGTTACCACCAGTGATGCCACATAGTTGGTTTCAACCCCCATTGAAAACTAGTGATACCCCCATGTGTACCTCATTAGTGCTGCGACGGCTTCGCATTGTTACAGTGTTGCACCAAAAGATACTCTAGAGAGAGAGAGAGATATATATATAAGCAGATCGCAGTGCTACATGGATTTCTGTCGATTTCTGGCAGAGGCCCGCCCTTAACCACATAGTGTGTATATTATACGTATATACATTTAAAACATCGTATTGTGTACATACCTGTATATGTACATATATACATATATATATATATACATATATTTATACATATGGAGATACTTCCTGGGACCTGAACATTTTATCCTATATACTATATATATAGACATATGTACATTGACAGGAAATTGCATATTTTACCCGTGAACACTCCCGGTGATCATACCCTTGATCAATATTACTATTACTCCTTGTTTGAGGGTTTGTTTGCCTTGTCAATATCTGGTGTTGACTTTTGTTACTTCGTTGGGGCAACTTCACTGCTTTCCAACAAGGAATGAGATTGGTATATGTATTCTAGAATTTTGACCAATCCACTCTCCTGTTTTTCAAGTTAGCTCGCACGACAGCCATGGAAGATGAAAGGGTTCTACGCATGGCAGCTGCTATTAACCATTATACAATCTGCTGCATGCTGCTCGAGAATGTGCAGTCAGCTCACAGCATGATTGATAAAGCGCACCAACAAATCCAACAGCTACCATGGATTCCTCGGCCTTTACTGTCTGAACTTGAACAGACCAGAAGCCAGATTGCTGCCTTGCAGCAAGCTGCTCTTAGCTATCGAGACATGCTGACACAAGAAGTCGAAGATGCGCAGAAGGAACTCCTGACACAGGTGTGCTACGACCGAAGTGGAGATTACTTCCATTATTGGTGAAAACTACAATTCTACATGGTAACCTTCCGGTAATCAAACTTAGCCATGGAAGGTCCACCATTCCTAGATGTTAAAACACAACTTATCTAGGATTTTCAATTGTCACATTTGATTACCAAATGATTATTTACCCTAGTACTGGGGTGTACATCGATGCTTGATACCTCATGCGTGCACCCATCAAGTCATAGATCATCTCATATACCCAAGATCTGCAGCCTTTTGCAAGACAAAAAGCAAGAAACAATGATATCACAGTGGAAATATGTAGCGTATGTTCTTGTATGTTTATGTGTAGGTAAGCTTGTATGCCAAAGTACCATCTACATGTGCACACTTTGGTAAGTTGCAAGGACTTCACTGCAACATCACTGTAAATGATGGTGAGCAGAGGGAACCATCCCAAAATTACCCCATTATTATTGATCATTTGTTCTTTGATCCATCTATATGTATATATGTCATGACAGTATCTTTTGGTATCATACATATATATATATATGTATATGTGTATATATTAGTATGTCATTATTCTGATTATACATATACACAGTTTACATTTATGTATACCCACATATGACTTGTAACTTATGTGAGTTTGACCTGTCTAATGTATATTTTGTATAGCCAAGTGATCACATGCCCCCGTTGACATTTGGCTTTAGGGCCCTTGAGTCATACCGCGCTGCCGTGGTAAAAGTTGGGCACTAACGATCCCGTTTCCAATTCAGATTGGTAGCGGAGCGGGTGACGACCTGCATCCGGTGGTACGTCAGTGACCCAGGGAACTCTTTGTGAATTTGAGTCTGGTAACTTTGGGAATCAACTGAACTTCGAGTGTGTCGTGGTTCGGGAATCTGTCTGACCCTGACCAGGGCAGGCACTTGTTAACGCCTGAAAGCAGACGATAAGAATCTTATCGTCTGCAGTTTTTTCTTCTTGTTCGACTCCGAACGGAGCGAGCATCATGTCGATCAATGGCCTTCGTTTCAGCCAGGAGCGCCATTCGTCGGCACCACTTGAGACGAAGAGTGGATCATACATCTATGCAGGTGATGCGGCGAACTTTCATGATTGGCAGTTCAGGACTCTCCTTCGGATTCGTCTTTATGAGCAACAATTGGAGGAGACAAGTAAGTCTGCGGATCCCGTTGGGACCACAGCAACAGAGCCTGCCGCAGAAGATGCAGATGAGTATGCCACTTTTCCAGATTTGTCGGGTGCAACTCAAGCAGCCCAGCCTACATCAGCAGTCTCGACTCCGAAGTCTGGAGCGAGCCGAAAATCCTCGAAGTCCGGTAAGCAGAAGACAGATGTTGATCGTGGACCATTGGTCAACAAGGTGATTGAAGGACTGAGAGGAGATGCTTTCTCAATAGCTAGGGATCTTGGACTTGAAGTGTTGTCCGAACCTGGTGGCTTAGTGAAACTTGTGGGTGAGATCAAATCCCATGTGTTTCCAAGAGCTCGTGAGGAAGCAAAGGAACTTTTTCGTGCAGGACAGAAGCAAGGTGGTCCTTTGTCTCGCCAACCAGGCGAACCCATGCTTTCCTATGTTCAGAGGAGACGACGTTGGTGGCATATGCTATGCGAGTTGGATGACACAATGGTGTTTTCAGACAGCTTGAGGACAGAGTTGATGTTGGAGTTGAGTGGACTCAATCGACAAGAGATCCTCGTTGTGAAGGCTTGTGCAGACACTAAGGATTTTGAAGGTGTCGGCAAGGTGCTGATCGAGAACTACAGTGGCACCCACTTGCGAGAAGGGTCACGATCCTGGACAGGACGTGGGAATCCTCAACAGTTTGGCAAATCAACAGGCAAGGGTTATGACAAAGGCAAACCTTCTTCGAAGGGATCGTATTCCCAAGCAGCCTATGCAGCCTACCCCGATGATGGGGAGGAACATGCAGAATCTTGGGATGAAGCTGTGGATCAATCCTGGGAGGATGATTCATATGTTGGCATGCTTGGTGACATTGCAGAAGAGGAGCCAGGAAAGCTAGAAGGTGACAACGAATTTGATTACTTTGACGACGTCGATGAGTACGAAGCAGTTGCATTGAACAGCTTGCTTGAAGTTGAAGGTGCAGAAGACGATCGACAAGCAGGAGACGCTATCCAGCTACAACTTGCTGCTTTCACCGCAATGGGGAAAGCAGGTGGCAAGGGCAAATCCTTCGGGAAGCCCAAAGGAAAGGGGAAAGGAAAGATTGTGAAGTCCAACCTCACGATCGATCAGAGGAGACGGAAGCTCACAGAGCTGAAGTCGAAGAGCAAATGTTTGAGATGCGGAGTCATAGGGCACTGGGCCGGTGACCCGGAATGTAAATTCCCGGGGTCGAAAGCCGGAGCCCCTGGAAAGTCAGCCCCAAAGCCCGCAGCTCACTTTGCTGACATGAGCGATTCTTCAGATGACGATGGTGTGACTTTGACAGCTTCACCTGATCGTGACAGAGATGGAGTTGCTATGATGGCAGTTCGACAAGCGAAGCCTAGCAGTCGACCTTCACGTGCAGCAGCATCCAGCAGCAACGTTGGCTTGATTTCCCGGGATCTCGATGTTACAATGAGACCCGAGGATCATGGGTGCATCTTTCCTGTTGGACAGTTCAAGGGTTTGTCTTTTTGGAATGTGTTGTTTGAACAGACAGGATACTATCATCATGCCAAGAAACATACCCCCAAGAGTCCATATTATGTCACGTGGTTGAATTGGGTTGACAAGTACTTTGTGGTTAGTGCTGATGGGATTCATTTGCGTGAAGTCCCTGTTGAGCCTGGTGAGCACCGAGATTTGTTGGTGGCTCGGGGAACTGGCAGAAAGAAACCCCCAAATCCTCCTTTGCCGAACAAGTGTCAGGAATGTCGTGAGTTTACAAAACAAGGTTCTACGGGGTACACCATCAGGAAGACCTGTCTTGTGTGCGGTCATTCCGAAACAACAAGGCGTGACATGGTACCGTTGATGTCCCCTGAGAATTGCCCTCATGATGACACCGATTTTAGGGGATCCAGCAAATCAACACACCGTACTTTCTGCAAGAAGTGTTGCACTTTCATTGATGAAGCTCCTATGCAGATTCGCAAGGAGCGTGTTGCCATTGCCAAGAAGGTTGAAACAGCATCAGTTCGAGCAGTCCCCATTGTTGAATCATTGGTTGAAGAATCGGATGGATTGAATCCAGTCCAGTTGGAAGAGTTGTTGCCCCTGTTTGCCACTCTCGTTACCGAAACCTGTCAATCTGAGGTCATGACCCGTGCACGACTTCATGAGCTACTTCATCAAGCCATCAATGACGTGACAGAGGAAGAGGACAGTTTTTCTCTGGTCAATGAAGATGGGCACGGTGACCCCTCGGGCAGGGAGTTAGCTGGGTACGTTGGCATTTGTTTGCATGGAAGTGACATTCAATACCCTCAAGACTTGGTTTACATGAACTTTGAAACTGTTGACATTGCCAGGTCATCCCATGTCTTTGCAGTGTTGGATGAAGGTTGCAACAGCACTTGTCATAGCAAAGCCTGGGCAGTCGATGCAGAAGCACGACTGGCCCGTTTGGGTTACAGCATGCCATTGAAGGATGACAGTTGTAAGAGTTTCGCTGGTCTGGGAAGTGGCAATACCAAGA